AGGTACACACATCAAAAAAAGTTTGCGATCAATAGCATAAGCTCCTATAATTCTTTAAATTTAACTTTATCAAGAAAAAATCTATGTTGTATGCTTTCTTTAAACAGGAATACCCTGTTTGAAATTAAAATATAAAACTATTTTTTATTATTTATTTTAAAAAATTGAGCCATTAATCATAATGTAATAGTGATAGAAATTTCATAGAAAGAAAAAGACTGTTTAATTAAACTTAAACAACAATTTATTATTAAAAGGTGTGAATTCAATATAAAATAACTCCTTCCCTGGCTCGAATACATGCGAAGATCCTCCTGGGCATGCTGAGGATCAAGTTATCCAGCATTTCCTGGGGTAACCTATCCCATTCTTCAATAGCGGCTTCCCTGAGCTCTGGAACTGTCTGGGGACGTGGCTCACGGTTCCATACTGCTCGTTTAAGAGCATCCCACGCGTGCTCTATTGGGTTTAAGTCGGGCGAGCCGGCAGGCCAGTCTAATCGTGTGATATCGTATTCTTGAAGAGCAGCATTGACTCGTTGAGCTCGATGTGCGGGCGCATTATCATCGACCAGTACAAATTGGTGCCCATGGTTTACTCGGAATGGTCTGACGATATCATCAATAGCAACTGCTTTGTACATGTCTGCTGTCATGAAGCCCCGATACGGGATCAAAGGCGTTCTAGCTCCAATCATAATGCCACCCCAAAAGGACACCGATTTTCCGCCTTGCTGAACTGTTCCAGTGGCAGTTCTTTGTCTTTCACGGTCGCCTGGTCTTCTCCAGACACGGACACGTCGGTTATCTGGATGAGTGCTGATTCGGGATTTGTCAACGAAGAGACAGTTTTGCCAAATGTTTTCGTCCTCACCTTCTTCATTTTGCCGAAGTCTAGCCCACTGCAATCTTCGTTGTTGACGTTGCCGGGAATTGAGCGGAGCTCGCCAAGACCTCCGTGCTCGTAATCCAGCCTGGTGCAAGCAATTGCGAACGGTCTGCGTGCTAACTTCAAGCCCAGAGGCGGCCCTGACTTCTGCTTTTATTTTAGTGGCGTTGATTGTTGGATCACGGGCTGCCAGCAATCTAATATAGCGCTTTTGGGCAGCTGTCAAAACAGTTGGGCGACCGCTGCGGGGTCGGTCAGCTAAATTCCCCATTCCGTGATACCTCTGCAACGTAGCCACGACCCAGGATTGGGATATAGCAAGTCTGCGTGCTGTTACTCTCGTGGTGTATCCTTCTTCCCTCAAAGTTACTATTCTAGCTCGTAAAACCTTTGATAATCCTCTTGGCATTTTTTCAATCACAACTTTCCGCGAAAAATATCTTGAATCGCTTATAATTGACTAAATCAGATTTCTGAATGAGCGTAAGCTAGGACTGAAAGCCTTTTTATATGAAAAAACAATTGAACGGGGTCATTGTTTTAAGTTCTAATTTATTTTTAAATAAAGAATCTAAAAAGAAGAAAAAATCATAATATAATCTACAGTAACAAAAAAGATTTCAGTTTTTCGAAGTGATCGCAAACTTTTTTTGATGTGTGTACATTAAGAAACGTAATTCTCAAAGAAGAAGCTCAAATTTTTTTTTTAATTTCATCGAGTGACCCGAGGTAATTGATATCAAATGTGTAATGTGTCGAAGCAACGTGACAACGTGGCGCTATGTAGTAAACACTATCTGTACTTGAATTTATTTTAAAAATTAGAAACTGCAGTTATAACTTGAAAGACCATTATAAAACAGTGATTCATTGTGTAGCTCTACTGTGAAAGGATTAGTGAAAGAAAGTATTAGTTTATTGAATGGATTATTAAATAACTCACGTAGACATTTAGACTAACATAGAACCCATAAAAATATTGTTAAAATTGTTGAAACAAGATAATGAATATTGTGTGAAGTGCTAGTGAACAGGAAATTTATTAGGGATCCATTTAGATACTAAATTTTATGGTATTATAATTTATCAAACAGTGTGATTTTCATTGCGGGTAGGATTTATTTTACAAGTTCCCTTCCCACTGCTATTCCGCGACTCATTGTCAGAATACACGAATACGTTACACTATTTCGGCGTTAACTTAATGAGATTGTTAGTCGAACGGCTTAGAGTGTCAAATGGGTGCCGATGGTTCGAATCTCTCTAAAAAATAAAAAAGTGCAGTTTCGGCAGTTTATTATTATATTTATTTTTTATTAAATATTATTATTACAACAAGTAAACACTTCCATTGTCGCTACTAATAGCAGCACGATGGTGCCACCAAAAATAATCACCACATGTACTAAATGTAGCAAAGACATATATAATATTCGGCAAAGTCTGACTTACTCATTGTGCGATGGTCCATATCACCTGGATTGTGGCAACGTTTCCTCACCAAGATTTAAATTAATGACACCTAATAAAAGAAGGAAATGGATATGTAATCGTTGTTGATCTGCAACGAAAACAAAAAATAATGCCCCCTCCACTCCAAAATACCGTGAACAAGACGGTTCTGACACTTCTTCCAGTGATATAGTCACTAAACGCACTAAGTATGTTATCAACCTCTCAACGGAGAACTCAATATGAGGAACTGTCAGAAGTAGAATTGGGATGCAAAACACCGTCCGAACACATTTCATTATACAGAAGTTGCCCTGAAAAGCTACAAAGTTGTTTGGACATAGAAGAAATGAAAGACAAAATAAATTATCTGCAAAATGAACTTCAGACGGCTGAAAATGAGATTGAAAACCTACTTGCCGAAAATTATACTCTTTAAAAACATATGGAAAAACAGTGTATTATAATAAATCAATTGAGCATCATAAGTCGATCAACTTCAATAAATTCGAAAAAGAAAAGAAAGTGTAGAAAAAATCTAACAACAACGATTAGACTTCTCTACAACTGAGGAAGCTGATAACCACCCCCAGCAACATAGTCTTCAAAGGGGGGTAGAGCCCCCACTCAAAATTACATGAATGAAACACCACGTTATGAAACTCCGGCTAGTCACAAACTTGATTCTGAAGGTACCGCACCTTCTAACTTAACCGCATCTGTTAACTTAATAAAAACTAAAGCTATGCAATTTCACGCTCATCAAGCTAAACCGCCAAGTATTAATATTTGTTACAAAACAGTAAATATAGAAACAGTACAAAATTTCAAATTCCTGGGACTATACATAGATTCGCATTTAAATTGGAAACATCAAATTGAAACAATAAACTATCAAGTCTATCATACGTTCTGTTGATGCTGGCAAGAAATGCCTGACGAGACACTCTACTGACAGCGTATTACGGAACTGTGTATCCAATACTCAATTATGGAGTCATCCTTTGGGGTAACTGTGTGAACGTCAACTCTACATTTGTCCTTCAAGAGAGGTGTATTCGTATAATATATAATAAAGACTTTATGACGCCATCCAGACCTTTGTTTAGAATTTTGAATTTATGTTTGTTTGTGAGCGGGTTATTTCACTCAAAAACTGACAGTACAAAACTATAATCTACGATCGCGGCTTAACTTACTGCAACCAATAACTACCTCAGATATTTGCTTTAGAAGTGTTTACTCTACGGCCATTCGTGTGTATAATTACTTGTCAAATGACATAAAAATGTTAGATGGTACGACTTTTGACAAAACTTTAAAGATGTGGCTAATCAAAAAAAGTTTTTACAGTTTAAATGATTTTTTTGATTATAAGCAATGTAAATAAATATTAATGAAATTAAATTAACGTAATAATGAATTAATATGCTTTATGTACAAGTTTATTTTAATTTCATAATTAATTTGTACTTTAGACATAAATTAAACTGTACTTTAAACACTGTACGCCCGTAGCGGGTAGATTGTGAGGACTGTACTTATGTTCATAAGATCTTAATGTTCACCACATTCACACAATAAATGAATTGTATTCAATTCTATTCTTCTTTAGTAGGTCACTGGATTGCATACTGACGGAAATGTAGAGTAAGCATAAGATTCTTTATATTGTAATTTAATTATTATTTCACATCTATTTGAACCGAATGAATAAACCACTATCTAAAATTGTTCCTGTCTCACCACACGTCGCCAACCAGATGATATCCCAACTACCTCACTGCACAACCAACCTAATATGAGAAAGGTGTCGCGTCTGTTGTGGAAATATTCAATTTTTAAATTTCGGCCGCGCTCGTGTACGAGGGTAAAAGAAAAATAAGAAAAATTGTTGCTGTTGGATGATGTACTTCGGAAGGGTTTCGACACTACGTCTAGATATAATTGCGCCACTCGTGTAGATATCGACGCCCGCAGTGCGCCTGTTGACGCAACCGTCAAACTCGCGTGCGCACACGCACGCCGACACCGTCACTCGGGCTAATACAATTAAATAAGGCTGTGGCAATTTTCCACTCAATTAGCCTTATAAATTTCAACCCATTAATCTGTAATTACCAGCGCTTCATTACTTTGTGACTAATCGTTGTTTCTTTTTGGTTTCACCAAAATGCGATTACACGCTTCGTTGTTAGTGGTGTTTTATTTTTTGCACTGCAAAGGACATTCCGTGCCGGATACTTTGAAATCCGAATTATTATCGACGCCGAAAGGAACGAGTCCGGGGAGGGAGCCTCCGCCCGGCGAAGATTTGGAGCGAGAGGGCTCGGAGAGGGCAGAGCCTCTGCCGGTCTCGCGGCGGGAGGCCGACACGTCGCCGGGCGCGATACCGGCGCGCACCAGTCCCGGCCGCAGGTACCCGGACCCGGGCTTCAAGGACATACCCAAGTTCAGCTACCCGGAAAGCTACCGGGACTACGTTTACCGCGACCTGAGCAAGAGTGTCAAAGAAACGTTCCTTCTTCTCACCGTTCGTGAGTATGACGTCGTCGGCGTCGGATCGCTTTAGCTTTATTCAATTGCAAAATAATATTTAGATATCTGAAGTAGATACTTCTGTATAGGCAGCGAGCGTTTGTTGCAGACCCGTCGTGCTACCTCAAAGGAGGCTCCTGCATAAAGATGGTGGAGTGCCGCAACATGGATAAGCTGTACATCTCGCGCACGTGCTACCGTGACGACCTGGTGTGCTGCTACGACAGATATAATCAATTCCACGGCGCGGAATTCGACACTAAAACTAGTACCGCCCTGACGCCCACCACCAAGCCTATGAAGAGTACCACAACCAATAAATCCACGAAGCCGGCCACTTCGGAGGCACACAGCGAAACCTCTCACGTCAACACATAACCTCGGTCGCCCGATGAGACCACGCCCGCACCTTAGCCTTCGGCACGCTAATAAACTCTTGAGCTATTAGATTACTTTCCTTCAACTTGACGTTTCCGTTCTGGCTCGTTCGTTGGTTGAGTGGGAATTAAACAGGTGATAAGATTAGTGTCATACTTACTAGTAGCAAATAGAAATAGAAACCATTTAATGTAACGCTACATTATTAAAAGAAACACAAAAACAAAGACTAATATACATTGACCTACCAATAAATGGACGTCGGGTTCGCGCTAAAAAGTCTCCGCACCTGTAGGGCGTTAAAATCGCATATAGAGCGTCAATCACGCAATAGTCTTCCTTTGTTCGAGTGACAGCGCTGTTGTCAATCATGCAGTACCAATAATAATAACTTGTAAAAATTTCTGCAGTAAAGTGTGAAAACAGGATTTTGTATCATATTTTCACTAAAGAAATATATTGTGTTATCATAGTTGTCATTTAAAAGTGTTATTTTGTACAGTTTTATAGTATTTCATTTATATATAACAGAAAATATAAATTACAAAAGCACACGAAATAATGAAATAGCTAACTGTCCTTTTTCTACTCATTGCATGCGCAAAAGATGGAAAGAGATCCATTACGTCAGTTTCAAGAAGCTTATATAAACTTCTTGGTCATTTTCAATTGTTCGAACCACAAGCGATTGAAATATTTAGAACAAAGAAACTGTAGAGTTGCTTTGATTTTAATCCTATTTTTAAAATGATTTTTTTATCAAACGTTAGCAATAACTAACAAAATATTGTTGTACTCGTTACGGCATGGGATTACCTATCAGAAGTCAGAAAATACGTTGCCCGAAATAACATTAGCTCGAATTTTCATAATGTGTTTTTACGAAGATTACAAAACAAAAGCTAATTTTGTCTATGTAAAAAGCATCAAAATTACTCGAAAGCGTAACGGTTTCGTTATAAATCGGAATTACGGATATTTGAGTTTACGTTTACTTAGAATATCTGTACATTTCTTATAGTACACGCTTATTTTCATATTTGTAGTAATATTTGTATGTATGTATCTACCCAACTCTTTATTATATCTTTAAGTGAATTTGTACAAAATTCGACATAATAAAATATATATAAAAATTAATTACTATTTACGAGAAAGGCGAGAATTCCATTACTCTTGTGTTCAAGTAATTTTCAGTCGAAGCTAAATATGGTGCATTTTGTTAAGTTTCCAGTAGAAGCTGAAAATGGTATTTTTGGGCCCTTAAATTGTTGTAAGCAAATACTGCTGTTGTAGGCAGGACTGCAATGACGTTACAATTCAAATTAAATGTTTTAGTTTTTTGTATTTCGTTACATGTCACTACGTTTGTATAGGTTAACCTCGGACATTTTTTTCCTGGTTTTTGTATTAGACCCGATGTCCATTTGTTGGTAGGTCATTGCTAATATAACTAGAACAGAAATAACACAAAAAACAGCCTAAAAACATTTAAACAACAAGTTACAATACTATACTGACATGTGTGCGGCTGTGGCGTGTACAAAAGGAAATAGTTTTCAACGGGCCCGTCCGTCCCGAAACTGAAAAAAAAAATAGTAATAGTAAGAGCTGTGTCAGCTCACTAGGAAAACAGTTATGTCTCCATGGAGAGGTCGACGGTTAGGAATCTCTGTGGCGGCACGTATATAACACCTAACTTGTGCACATGCGTCATGTTTATGTTCCCACTCCCTCTTCCTAACTCTTGCTTTTTTCTTACTCTCTCTAATCTAAACTTCCACTTCACAAACCATGGTCGTTGTTTAGAAATATAAACGCAAATAAAGTATTTACGTACTCTTTCTCCTTTTCGTCTGTGGTATTTATTATTTGGTACAAATTTGGTTGTAATTTGCTTACGCCATTGTATGGCTCGCTAGTATGCGTACATGCGTACTAAAAACAGAGCATAATCGAGTCATCGAACATGCCATGTCAATTAATTAGTAACTATAATTTTTTTTTAAAGTTCAAACTGTATGTGAAAGGAGCATGCATGAAATCCATTTACTTTTACGTAACAGTGATTTTATAAGTACAGATAGCAAAATATCATCATTCCGGGAACGATTTATAAAATTTAAATAAAAATATAAGAAATTTAACAATTGTTTCATTTTTATTACAATACAATAGCGTACACATACAAAATATATTTATTTAAAAAAATTAAATAGTATAAAATATACAATTGACCAAAAATAAATAGACTTTGTTGACAATTTTCATATTTTAAAGTGTAAAAGCATAATAGCCCATAGCAAAATATCGGTGATTTTTTAAATTAAATTACTATATAATATAGTGAACTCAATATATATTTTGTAATACTATATTATTACCTAAGATATCGTGATGTTACCTTATATGTATATAATAATTGCCTTATTTATGTGTTGTTCCCGTGATGACGAAAATGTTATTACGTCAGTTATACGTCGTTTAATCTCAAAACTTTAGCGTTCTTGCATTGACTTTTTCTCTTTGGAGTACCTACATAAGAAGAAAATTGCTTTTTTATTACTTTATTTTTATTTTCGAGACCTTCCATATCTGTTATAAATAAATTTCAAGCTTTAATTTGGAGCGACATTTCAAGCAAAAATCATTCGGTTACTTGCGAAACTTTTAATTCAAAAATCATTTATTGAAAGGAATAGCCGTTCCAGGAATACTATACTATAGCCATTCAAACGTTTTCTAAATGACCATTCCCTAAATGATATTTGCAAATATTAGCTTTTTCCATTTTGTTGCCCGTTATTTTAGTTGAATTTTTTCAAGGTCAATGTGAAGTAATCACGATGAAGTATGAACTGCATTAATCAAGAAATCATTTTTTAAATGTTCTCAGCAACGACATACATTCCCGGAATATGAAAAGATACATACCATTTGAATATTAACTAATATATGCAAGAACACAAGTGGCAGCCACTCATACCACTGTTTCTGACAGAATCAGCACACTAGCGCTTACCGCGCGTTCAAATAGCATTTTGATCTATTTGAACCGCGTTCACTGAGTGTCGCTTACGCCCGAGTATCAGTTTTTATGCGCGATGAAGAAACTGAATGATACTCCTGAAGGCGCTGGATTTAAAGTTCATTTATTTATTTATTGTTTAGCAACATGTACTGTACTCGTGTATGCGATATTGCTCACTACCCGTACACACTTAAAAAACTAATAGAGTTTTGTTATCTGTTGCCACAGATATCTCTGTACGAAGGCTCGTGGGACCTGGCGAGCGCATGCGCCGCTCTGCTTACTAAATGCGACGTGCCGCTCGAGGACCAACTCGACGTAAGTTCGACGTCGACCGTTCATTGTTTTCGCTACTGATGTCCATTATTTGTTATGTTTTTATGTGCACCTTGATGGTGAAACAAATCTGGCTATCGTGTCGCACCGTTTATATAATAGGAATCTGTACATATGGCATACATTTTTTCACACGTGCAGTTGACGCGCGTTAACGTGATTCATACGAGATTTAGTCGCAGCCAGTAAAACTTTGCACACATTATTTAATTTAGTGGCGTCGCCGTGAAACGCGCGTTGTTTGCGCGTAGACGATTCCGACGAATACGGCATATTATGGCTGGTGTCACGTATGTACGTTATTTTTTTAAATCTACTTTTCGAATTTATTGAGTCCGCTGCTGTAGGTGTCTCGATTTGATTGGCGCAGGACGACATCTGGCTGGACTTGTCGGAGGAGTCCGTGCAGCGCAGCCCGCCGCTGCTGGCGTTGCTGCCCTGCTGCCTCGCCGACGTGCCGCTCGCGCACAACATCACGCTCATCATCCGTAGGATCATTGACAAGGTGATAAAGTTCGGATTGGTGCTGTATTGTTAAGTTTCTTACTTACTTACAGAGTAACTTACTACAGAGTTTCACTACAACACGTTTTGTTTTTAAAGTAATTTTTCATCGTACAGGCGTCAATAAAAGTGCTTAACGAAGTGTCTGTGGTGGAGGTAGTGGTGCGCTCCATCCGAGCCATCGGGCAGATGGAGGACGAGACTTTCGAGGGACGACATCTCTTGTTGGAAGATCTATACGAACTGCTCAACAGAATCGCCATTAAGGCGCTTTCTTCGCCACAGGGCACGCAGGTCAGTGAATTAATGTATGAGTATGTGTATATCCAGAAAGTAGTATCTTGATCATTTGATATCTATTAAAGGAACCAGTCAGGATTGTGTCCGCAGTCTCGGTATCGGTTTTTATTAGAGTTGCAACTAATATTCGGTTACTATTCGACTTATTCGGCAATATTGAGTATAGAATCGGACTATTGAATCACTTGTCGGCCGAATACCTAGAACAGGAGGAACAAATTAGAAAAAATAAAGTAAATTATCATTTATATATACCTAATATTAGTGCTGGACGCACTACGGACTGTTAATTTTAAGAAATCATAATTTTTTCGCTTATTTACCTAAGTTATCAAAGGAAATGTAACATAACTAAGTCGTTATTCTAAGAAATCAATAATAAGGTAACAAATCAAATGAAAGTATCTATTTAGCATGTAGTTCAGACATGATTTTACGCTAACAAATCAACCAAGAACTTGTATTTCAAATTAAAATAAAATTAGGTTTTTTTTAATTGAAGTAAAGTAATTGATTATTTTCTTAATTGAGATTAAAGCTTAAAAATTTAATTACATTTTTGTTTCATTGTAGTAAAAGCGGAATGAACGTCGGCCTATTCGCCGTGACCTTTTTATCTCGTGCCGCTATTGTTCGGTAGTCACAATGACGTGGCACGAACGTACTTAATAAATAAATGTATTATTCATTTACGCGTCGAGGTGAGCGCGCGATTTTGTTATCGACGCAATGAATTACGTGCGCCAATTCGCGGCCTCGAGCGACGGACCAAAAGAAACGCCCGCAGACGATCGCCGACGCGCACCACCTGCTGGCGTACGTGGAGGCCAGCGGCGGCGAGGGCGCGGCGCGCGCGGCGCGGCTGGCGCAGCTGGCGCTGTTCGCGGCGCAGCTCGACCACCTGGAGCGGCGGCTGCGCTCGGCCTGCGCGGCGCACAGCAAGTACGCCAACTACTTCAGCACGGGTGAGCGCGGCGGCCGGCGCGGGCGCGTGCGCCGGCCGCCGCTCACCGCCGCCGTCGCAGTGCTGGCG